ATAATTTCCCATTACATTAGTAAAACAGTTAACACTTGAGGGTTAACTATACAAGTTTGATTATATAACTTTAGATACAACAAGTTTTAACCTAAAATGCCTCATTTTTTCTGTTTATACCTATACCTTCAGTGGGACTTGGAATTTCTTGCAAAATCCACTATCAGTTTTTATATTTCTATCACCCTGAGTAGTATCACCAAGTCAGACATACATAAGGCTTGGTTACTATCCCAATTCCGCAGAAAAGCTGCTCATTGTCATTGATAAACGACTGTCGTTCCTACTTGAGTATTAGTGTTAACACTAAGACAAAAGCTAAACAACACAAAATGACTCCCATGACCAAACTTCTTTGCTGAATTCGATAATAGCTTTGGAATACCAGAACATTTCCACAACATAAAAGCTACAGATATGACCCGCTTTTTTGTAATCTGTATTTGTAACATTTCCTCCATCACTTCTTAAGTCCAGACTGATCAGCAAACTACAGCCTACAAGCCAAATGCAGCCTGCTGCCTGTTTTTGTATGGTAAACAAGCTAAGAGTAGTTTCTACATTTTTAAATAAAGTTTTGTTGTATTTTAAATTGTAAAAAGCAGTGTTCTCTGGGCTGCATAAAAACAGGTAGTGCTGGATCAGACAGTAGTTTGTCAATCCCCGGTCTAGACAGTAAACCAAGCCTTGATTTGTAACATTTGCTGATTTCCATAATGTAAATATTCCACTGTGGTGGATTTCAACCTACCAACATGGCATCACTCGTGCAAAGTTGGGAAAAGATGCATAGTAACGTACCATTATCTAGTATTTCCACCATGCAGGTGTAATAAACATAAATCACCTCAAGAGCACAGACAATAGTAAAATTATTAGGAAGCAATGAATTTTGAGTGTTTATTACCTTTGTTTTTAATATAATTTGCTTAATTATAGATTTAAATAATTTTAAATAATGATTGTATTTAACAAGTGGCCCACAAAAATCCTGAAAATTTAGCAACTGGCTCCACATACCACTGTTTGTAGTCAGTCCATCTAATAGTTAACAAAAGGAGGCTTACTTAGCTTTAGCAATGAGAAGATATTTAACAAGGATGCAGCTTTGTTTCAGTTGGGCATGGATTCCCTACCTCTGTGTTGTCCATGCCCAGAAAACAGTGCTGGAGGGAGGAGCTCTTGACTCTTGATGCCTTGACATTTTTGTACCTAAGACACAAGGAAGCTATTATATCAGTGATCTGAGCCTTAACCCCTGAACCAATAAAGACAGTTTCAATACTTCTTAAGGAAAATCTACCTTTAGGACAGTGATTGAGCAATACTGACCACAGGGGTGAAAGAATCCTTTGGAAGAAGATAAAGCAAAACCAAAACAGAAAGACTGCAAACCAGCAAAAACAACAACATACAGCAAATAAGCAGTGCCATAGCCCCATGATGGAGTGACAGAATGAGAAAGAGAGAAGAGAACAGAAATCCCATGCCATACTCGCCACCTCTCTTCAAAAGCACCAAGCCCAGATCTTCACAATAATGCCAAATCTTTGCAATTCATGGTGCTGTTGATGGGGCCTGATCCCTCTTCTCCTTTGCTGGCCTACTGTTGAGGCAGGGTGATTGTCTTCTTGTGCTGGGACCCACCAGTGATTCCTGCATCTATATCTAACCCTATTCTGTCTTTTGAGCTATAATCTCACATAACCTGCTGCCTTTTGGACATCTTGAAAGCAGTGACGTAAGAGTAGGGATGAGCAAAAGCAGCCCCAGGAACACAGCACAGATTACGTATAGTCACCAGTCTATCATGGGTCAGGGTCATCAGCAGTAAGATCACTAGGAGGTTGCATTACCAGCGTCAGGGTCAATACTGAAAATCACCCTGTACCACCATACACTTGGTCCGTCCATCCTTGCTATTGTCCTGTATCTCCCTTTTCTGGCTAAAATCCGTGATAAAGCCATCTACATCAATGCCTCCACTGCCTTTGCTCCTACCTCTTCTTAGCTCTGTTGTCTGCTTCTGAATTCATGATTCAACTGAAACTTCTCTCTCTAGAGCAATGATCTATTAATTGCCAATTCTAATCAATCCTCATCCTTTTTGACTTTTGCAGTCTTTGACATGGCTGATTACCCTCTTCTTGATACTTTTTTCTCTCTAGGTCTTTAGGACACCCCTCCTAGTTCTCCTACCTGTCTGACTCCACCTTCGCAGTCTCCTTTGCTGGATCTTCAGGCACTATCCTTTAATCATTGGTGTCTCTCCCCCCACCCCAAGTTCTGTCCTGGGCCATTCTTCTCCCTCTATACTATTTCGCTTAATGATCTCATCATCTCTCGTGGATTCAATTGGAATCTCTATGAACATGATTCTCAGATTTATTGATCCAGCCCTAACCACTCTCCCGATCTCTTCATCTCTAACTCTATCTCCATCTCTCCCTCTGTAGTCTGTCATCCCCAGCTGTCTACAGAATGTTTCAAACTGGATAACTCTTGGACATGTTAAACTCAATATATTCAAGAATGAATTCAATCTATTTCCCCAAACTCTCCCCTCTTCCTAACTTGATGGAGGACGCCATCAACTTCCCAGTCACACAGGATGACAACCTAAGAGCCATCCTGGACTCCTCCCTCTCATCCCTCCATATCCAAATCTTGTAGTTTCTAGTTTTGCGCCATCCCTCCTGTACACCCCCTTCTCTCTGGCACTGCCATCACCCTGGTACAGGCCCTCACCAGCTCATGTATGGACCACTGCAATGACCTCATGGATGGTCTCCCTGCCCCAAGTCTCCCCCCACTGAAGTCCATCCTCCACTCAGCTCTCAAACTGAGCTTCCTAAAGACCAAGCTGGACAATGTCACCCCCATCCCCCATTCGACAAGCTCCAGTGGCTCTCTGGTTGCCTCCTGGATCAAATATAAAAAAGCCCTTCAAAACCTGGCCCCTTCCTATCTTAAATCTTCCCACCGCCACCCTGGGTACTCTGTGATCCAGCCACCTCCTTGCTCCTGTTCCTCACACCAGACACTCCATTTCCTGACTGGGCATTTTCACTGACTGTCCTCCATGCTTGGAAACCGTCTCCCTCCTCGCCTTTGCATCTTGGCTGCCCTGCCTCCTTTCAAGTCTCTGCTAAAACCTCACCTTCAGCAAGAAGCTACCTTTTGATCTCTCTCAATGCTAAAGGGATAATGCTATCCCTTTGTCGATAGCCTCCAGTTTATTGTGTTATCTATCTTGGTAGGGGTACTCTCTCCAGGGACAAAAAATCACAAACCATCTGTGCCCATCTTTGTGCTGGGGGCCTTCTGTTGTTGACCGCTCGATCAACAAGTACTCAGTGTCCTGGAAAAAGTCCCCATGTCTGTGAGATAACACCCTCCCCCACCCCCCAAGGAGGTCACTAGGCTGCTGTTTGCCTTCGGCCCCTCTGTGGGGGCCGAAGGGTTTCTAACACTGGGACCAGATCAGTGGTTCCTGAAGAGTGTGGTTAGTTTTACAGAACTTACCCTGGTGTTCCTGTCTCCTAACATTCTTTTGTTCATTTAACGTTTCCTTCACTCTAGAACCTTGAATTCTAACATTAAAGAATAACACCATTCCATGAGCAGAAAAAAAAAAAAAAGGTTTGGAAACCCCTGGACTAATCAGTAGCTGACTAATATCATTTTAAGATGTGCCAAAAACTCTCCATACATTATCTCTATTGATCGTCATCAGGACCTTCTGAAGCAGGTACTCTGGTTAAGGGACTTGTCCAGGGTCACAGGAATGTTCGAGATAGGATTTGAACTCAGGTCTCCCTCTCTCAGGACTCCAAGTCCAATGCTCTATCCACTGTGCCACGCCATTTTCCCACTAACTTCCAGAATCCAGAGTCTGGATTCTATTTCTTGGCATCCAGTGATTCCATTAGCATGGGATTGCATTTTTTTAAAATCATGTTTAAAAATTAAATGTCAGTGAATGATTGGAGTCTATGTTGTGTTGTGAAGTAAGAGCCAGCCTTGGAATCAGAAGACTTGGGCTTCAGCTCTGCCTCGGACCCAGACTGGAGACATGACCCTTGACAGATCACTTCTCCCCTCAGCATCCCCAAGAGTTACAAAGGGCAGGGAGTGACACTGTAGGACAGTGGATAGAGTAAGGAAGACCTGGGTTCAAGTGCTGCCATATCTGTACTAGCTGGGTGATCCTTCAGCCTCCTGGTGTCCCAAGCAGCAATCCGAAACCATTTCAGTCCCACACAAGTGGCCCACGTTCATTAATGAGTCATTCCGGATGTGGGTAACCAGCTGTGCGGTCCGTGTAGGTGGCCAGTGCTCACAATGCCCATCACTATGACCAGTGTGAAGAGAGGCACCCGGGGCCTGTTCACATATCCTAAGATCTCTGTACCCCAGAGATGGACAAGAAGCTTGGCACAGGCCAGCCTCCTATGAGCCACCCCGCCCCCCTCTTTTATAGCAGTTAATTACAGTAGCTAGCAACCTTAATTCATGAATAATTTGTGCATCGGTGCCTGGTACCGTGCTGGGCGCTTTACACACGTTATCTGATTTGACTGCCACAACACCCCTTCGAAGGAGATGCTGTTATGATCATCCCCATTTTACAGGTGACACTGAGGCTGGGCAGGACTACCCAGCTGGTAAGGGTCTGAGGGCAGCCAAGGAGTCACGCCCCGGGGGCCTACTGGGGCCACTGCCCTGCGATGAGCATAGAGAAGCCGGCCCTCCTCACCCGGGCAAGTGGCCCCCCGAGGTGGGACGACCGACGGGAGGGAGGGAGGAGGGACACGTGGCAGCGGCTCCAACTTCACACCGGAAGTGAGGAGGCCGGGGGCGGGGCCTCCATGCGCGTCCCCGCCGAGCCCCGCCCCCCTCGCGAGCGCTAGCGGAAGTGGCGTGCGTCCGCGCTGGGCGTTCAAAGCGGTGCGTTGGAGCGCTCGCGGCTGCCGTCGTCGCGGCGGGATAGACCGAGGGCCGGCAGCAGGGAGGCAGCGATGGAGCCGGCGGGGAGCGGCGGCTCCTCCTCCGTGGACTCTCAGGCCGCCTTCGTGCTGAGCAACCTGGCCGAGGTGGTGGAGCGCGTCCTCGCCTTTCTGCCCACCAAGGCGCTGCTGCGGGTGGCCGGGTGAGGAGCCCCGGGGGGGCGCGGGGAGGGCCGGGCCCCCGCGCGGCGGCCTCCGTCCGCCAGGCCGCCCCTCCTCCCCTGCAGGCCCACAGGGTCCCAACCCGGGCGGCCGCTGCCTCCTCCTCCTCTTCCTCCCGGGCAGGCGCGCAGCCCCCTCCGGGATGCACCTGCCCCGCCCCCCACCCGAGCCGCTGCTGCTGTTGCTGCCGCCGCTGCTGCTGTTGCTGCCGCCGCCGCCACCGTCGCGCGTGCGCACTGGGCTTGATCGCCGCCTCCCTTCTCCCAGCTGCTCCGGGCCCCAGGCCCTGCTGAGCCCGAGAGCGGGAGGGAGGGATGCTTAGAGTCGGAGGGAGGGGGGAGCGCCCTTCCCCCACGTGACCCGCGTCCCGCGTGCCTCCCGTGCTCTGCGGCCTGGGGCTGCGAGGCTTATGGCGCTCTTGGACGTCAGTCCTTTCCTCCGCCCCAGGGGTCGTCTCTGGGAGAGCACTCGGCCCATTTTAGCAAGAATAGCCATAGCTGGCATTTGCGTAGAGCTTAAAGCGCTTCTCAGATCCCTCCTCTTCCCCATTTTACAGATGAGGAAGTTGAGGCTGGCGGAGGCGAGCGCCTTGCCCCGGTCCCCGCAGGTGGGCTGCAACCACAGGGCCAGCCAGACCTAAAGCGGCCCTGCAGAGGGGCAGAGGAGGGGCGACCCGGGTGTGACGCTGGTGAAATGTGACGTGTAAAGAAGAGGGCATGGGAGAAACAAGGGTCAGGATGAGGGAGGAGAGGGGAGGGAACAGAGAGTTCCAGCTGGCCGGAATGTGCCTTACAGAAATGTGAGATAAAGCTGGAAAAATAAATTGTGCCCAGCTCGTGGAGAACCTTGAACATGCCAGCATCGGTAATTTATACTTTGTTGGGCAGATAATGGGGGCCTGCTGGAGATAACCTCGAGGAGTAATTAGTCATTTTTATTAGGAAGATCAGTAGTGGATGTAATTTTCTGAGGGGAGAGATCCTGGAGGCAGCAAAAATGGTTAAGAGGCCATTGCAGTTCTGGTAAGTGAAGGCTAAGGAAACTTGGAGGAGGTGCTAGCAGTGTTTGTGAAGAGACTGGACTGGAGATGTTTTAATCATAGAATCTGAAGCCTTGGCATTTGAATGTAGGGAAGAAAGGGAAGAGTCAATGCTGATTCTAAAGTTTCAAGACCTGGTGATTGGGAGAGTATTGTAAGAGCATTTTCATCCATACAAAAAGAAAGGTTATGTGGAGAAATGGAATTTGGGAAAAGAATATTAAGTACTACCACCATTTATATAGTGCTTACTATGTGCCAGACAATGGTTAGTGCTTTACAGTTACTTCATTTGATACAACGACAAAAAGTAGTTGTTATTCCCGTTTTACAGATGAGGGAATTTTTGGATGAGTACCAGCTTGATACCCAGGTAGATGGAAATTTCCAGCAGGCAGTTGAAAATGTGTTGTTGGGATCAGTTTGGAACCTGTCATGATTTTCTTTTTCCAGTGTGTCCCGGTTATGGAAAGAATGTGTGCGCCGAACCTTGAGGACCCAGCAGAGCGTGGCCTGGATCTCCACAATGGAGCCTGGGCCCCCAGAGATGCACTCGCTGGTCCAAGTGTTAGCCAAGGAGCTTGAGGCAAGTGTTGGTCGGCCAGTAACGGAGCACTGCGTTTCCCATGGTGACAGTCTTTAATAGACTGAGCATTAATTCTCCTGAGATGATGGCATCTTCCTTGGGGTGGTTGTGCTTAAACTTTGTCTCATTTCTTTTTGATGTGTTTATTTTCGACGTGGTCACTATTACATAATTAACCTTTATGGAAGTCCTTTTACTAGCTAAATGTAAAATACCCAAATGCAGATCATTAAAGTAGAAAGTCTTTCAGGAAGTTCTTAGTGATACATTTCCAATTAGGTTTGTGATGTGTCTTGGAAAGGTGGGGCATATTAAGATGCAGAGGAACACAGATCTATGAAAAACAAACACTGCAGGGAGACTCAGAAATGTACCACTTTGGAAGGAAATGAAAAGAAGCATCTCTAAACTTCCTTGTCCTGCACAACCCTGGAATCTATAGGGGGGACCCAGATTGTTGTGAGAAGACAGGGATAGACAAGCTGGGTTAGGTCAAGGGTAGAATCCTTGGCAACCCCTGGAGGCCTTAGGCTAGTCCATCACTCCCAGCCTTTCCTGAAGTCAGTGGCTGTAGCTGGAGCCTCAGGGTGTTCCAGAGGCCAGCTGTGAGAAAGACCCTAGGCAGAATCCAGCTTGAGCAGTCCCTGAAGCCTGTGGAAGGAACCCAGCAACAACCAACTGGGAAAGCCCTCAGTCAAAGTCTATGACAGTGAGAGGTCCCAGAGCCCTGTCACAAGGGCTGTTCTCTGTTCTCTTCCCCCTCCCCCAGCCCCCACCACTGCAGCCCATCATTAGAGCACCCCTAGACTCCCTTAAAGGAGGGGCTTAACCACACCATTTATTTGTGGAGCTTGACCAAGTGTAGCACCCTTCATTTTCCGCCCCCTCAACTTAAATACTGAACTAGATGAGATGAGCAAATGAAGGTGAAAACTACAGATGCCGTGGGAGAGCTACCTTGGTTTGAGAGACACACGCGTAAACCCCAAGGAAAATAGCACCTCAACAAGCATAAGGTAAAGCTTGGAGAAATATATCTTGGCCATAGGGACTGCAGTAGTACCAGGAAGAAGAAATAAAATGATATATAGAATGGAAAAGGGAGGAAGGAAAGAATGGTAAGGCAAATTTACATAGAGATGGTGAGAAACCTTACCCAAGAACTAGATGGCCCTGAAAATTAGAATGGACCAGACCGAAAACAAGGATTGCTTAAGACAAGATTTAGGAAGACCCAAACCAAAAGATTGGAAAAACAGAAGAAAATGTAAGAAATATAATAGCAAAAAACAACTGGTTTAGAAAACAGGTGAAGGAGAAAAAAACCTAAGAATTATCATATCTGGAAACCATGATTAGGAAAAAAAATGTCTTGGATACCATATTAAAAACAATAACAACACAAAAACCACAAACCACCCAGAACTCTCAGGACCAGATGGAAAAATGAAAATGGAAACAATATAGTCACTTCTGGAAGGAAACCCCAAAATGAAAAAAATGCAACAATATCATAGCCCAAAATTCAGAGCTTCCATCAAAGAAAAAGTACTGCATGCAGCCGAGAAGGAGCTCAAGTACCAAGGAACCACAATAAGATTCCCACAAGACTGAGAAGGAGAGGAGAATTTGGAATACAATACTATAAAAGTAAAGAGATAAAAGGTTTATCACCAAGGATGACCTTTCTTGCAAAAACTATGTATATAATCTTATAGGGAAAAGGATTGATGAATGAATGTTTAATGAAATAGGAGATTTTCAAGAATTCCTGATGAAAAGGACAGAACTGAGTATGTAGATGTTTTTAAATGAGAATGCAGGGTCCAAGAGAAATAAAAATGGAAAAGGAGTATGTTTTATATTTGCATATTTACAGGAGGACAAAAAACAAATGTCTTCTCAGAGCGCTAAAATTTCTGAGGGTTTATAAAGAAAGGTAAAATGATATGGATGTCCATGGATGATGTTCTTCCATCCTAAAGGTCTTAGAAAAAGACAAATATGGGAGCCACAGAGGACTCTACTGGGGAAGAAAGAAGGTAGAAGGGAAGGGAAATTACCTGCATAGAAGAGATTCACAAGGTGAAGAATGTATAGTTATAAAGGAAGATGAAAATGGGTGTCCTGTGAATCTCACTTTCATCTGAACATGATAAAGGAATATACAAAACAATATACCCACACATAAACAAATTTTGATATAGAAACACATTAAACTCAGAGGGGAAATGGAAGATAGGGAGAAGAGGAGGGAAAGAAATGGGTCTAAGAGGAGAGCAGGATAGCAAGGGAGCAGTGACAAGCAAAACAAAACTGGAAAATTGAAGGGAGGAGATCAAAAGGAAGGGAAGACAGTCAAAACTTGGTGTCAGGACTGAATGAAGGCCAAGAGAAGAATTGCATTATAGAGGAAACAGTCTGCTTCACATATAATGTGGCAAGTGTTAGACACATTCCCTTTCTTGTACCACATTTTGTAGAGGGAGATAAGAACCAGGAGGAAAAAGTGCAAGAGGTCAGATAAAAGGAAAATAAACAGCTAACAATTATAACTGAATCACCTAAACTCACATAAAACACAATGATTTAGAAAGTAGAATCTAACAATATGCTTACAGGAAACAAATTTGAAACACTAGGATTCACATAGGATTAAAATGAAGAGCTGGAGCAAAGTCATGCTTCAGCTAAATTTAAAGCAACGTAATTTCAGATAAGGCTACAGTAGATATTGTCATGGTAGAAAGAGGCACACCAATATTTTACATTATCTTAAAGATGTCATAGAAATTATAATAGTGGAGAAGACATTAATGTACCCCTTCTGAACTTAGACAAATCTAACCAAAAGAGAAACAAAGAAGTTATGGATCTGACTACAACTTGGGAAGAATTAGAGATGATAGCTCTCATGATTAGTGAATGGAGTTAAAATGGAATTTACATACTTTTCAGCAGTACAAGGCACATTAAAATTTGACTGTGTATTGAAGTGGGGCATAAAAACCAAAAACAGAAAAAATACTACATGCATTTAGTGATCACAAATGCAATAAAAATTATATTAAGTAAAATCATTAGTGAATTTTTTTAAAATGAGACTAATTAACTACTGGGTCAAAGCAAATTATATAAACAGGTGTTTTCACCAAAGAAATTGACAAAACTAAATGTACTAAAACTTATGGAACATAACTAAATCAGTTTTGAGGGGGTAATTTATATGTAAAAGCTTTCATCAGCAAGAGAGAAAAATCAGTAAATTGGGCATTAAAAAAAAAACTTGAACAGTAAGTCAAAAATCTTCAACTAACAAAGTAGAAATTCGAAAATTAAAGAGAGAAAATTGAAAGCAAAACAACCATTAAATTGATAAACTAGAAGCAGCTTTTAAAAAAAAAATCTGATTCTTTAGAAGGAAAGAAAAAAATTATATCAAAAACAGAAAAGAACTTAAAAATAATCAGAGAAGAAATAAAGGAAATACCAAAAACTATTTTGTTCTATCATGCTAACAAAACTGATAAAGGAAATAGATGAATACTTATTTTTTAAAAAAATTCCAGATTAACAGGAACTAGATTATTTAAATAATCCAATATCAGAAAACCTGAATGAGCCATAAATGAACACCCAAAGGAAAAAACTCCAGGATCTTGTGGATTTGCACATGAATTCAAACATTGAAAGAACAATTAGTCCCAACATTCTCTGTTTCTGTGATACTAGTATGGTTTTGATACTAAACTGGGGAGAGACAGAAACTACAGACCAGTGTTACCAATGAATCAATGCAAAAAATTTTAAAGAAAACCACAAACTATAATCTCTAATGAATATAGACACTAAAAAATTTAAATATTAGCAAGTAGTAGGCTATAACATATTTGAAAGATTATACATAATGACCTTGTTGGGTTTATATCATGAATACAGGCTTGGTTCAATATAAGGAAGACTATAAGTATAATAAACCATGTTAAAATATTTTTAAAAAGTGTAATTATGTCAGTGCTGAAAAAGTTTTTGACAAAACCCAACATTTGTTTCTATTTACAAATCCAGAAATTATGGAATGGACCATTTAGGTCCATTCATAAAAAAGGATTTAACTCTGAGAGTATAAGACAAAAAGAAATTGAAGGCGTAACATAGGTAAAGGGAACAAAATGTTTTTTGCAGATGATAGGGGTGAAATCAATCAAAATTAATTGAAATAACAAGCCTTGCGGCTAAGCCTAGCCGCAAGGTAGAAGGATATATGACATATCCATATAAATAATCAGCACTCCTATATGTAATTAATAGAAGTCATTAAGGAGAGCTTAAAAGAGAAATTTTGTTTAAAGTAACTACAGAAATGGAAACACTTGGAAATGTGCCTGCTGTGATTCATGCAGGGGGTAAAGGAATCCAATTGCATAATCCTTTGCAGAAATACAGACCTAAATAATCAGAGAGACATTAAATACTGATATATAAGTCAAGCCAATATCATAAAAATGGCCATACCTAAATTACCTTTCTCAGTATTGTACCAGGGAGGAAGATTACAGAGAAGTAGAAATAACGAAATTCAGATAGCAGAAGAGAAGATGAAGAATATCCAGGGTAATGATGAAACAAGTAGGAAGGAAGTCTGTCGTTACCGCATCTCAGAGGGTGCTACACAGCAGTGATTAAAGTGACTTGGCACTCGTTTATAAAGAAAAACAAAACAGAAGAAGCAGCAGCCTCAATGGAGTGGATTAGGCTTACAACATATATAAGCAAATAGTAAAGTAAAATAATAATAGTAAAAGTAACTAAGTCTAAACCCAAAGACCTCAGTTATTGGGGAAAGGACTCAGCATTTGACAAAAACTTCTGGGAGAACTGAACATCAGACTGGCAGAAACTAGAAGTAGACCGACAGCTCATGTTAAAATAAACTCTTAATTGGTACCTGCCTTAGGCACCAGAGGTGACAAATTAGAGGAACAAAGAAGAAATGAACTTTCAAATCTCTGGAAAGGGGCCGAGTTCACAAATAAGCAACTGATAGCATCACACAAGATAAAATGAACGATTTTTATTTAAGATTAAAATCTTATACACAAATTCTAAAATTTAGAAGGGAAACAGGTAACAGGGGAAAATCTTTAAAACAAATTTCTCTGTTAAGGACCTTATGTCTAAGTTTAAAATGAACTTTTATAAGGTAAAAATATTTACACGATTAAAAGTCCTTCCCTAAAGATAAACGGTCGAAGGATATGAACAGTTTTCGAAGGAAAAGGGGGTGTGGGAGAGACTAAAGCCAGGCGCTCCAGTGTCTTCATTGTTAGTGGAGCTGTGAACAGGTCCAGCTACTGTATTCTGGAAGGTGTCTGTCCCCCAAAGAAATCAAAGAACATGGGGAAGGGCCTCTAAAAATGATTCAGAGGAGCTCTTCCTGGTAGCCCAGAGTTGGGAAGTAAGGAGGTATCCTCCTATTGGGGCAAACAGTTGAAACCAGTTGAAGTATGTGAATTAATAGAATGTTAATGTGCCATAAGAATTGACGAAATGGACGGTCTCAGAGGGAGAGTAAGCAGAACTAGTAGAACAATTTGTACAATACAATTATAGAGGAAAACAACTTTGAAAGCCAATAGCTCTCAGTTTAGAACCCAATTATTAAACTGCACGTCCTTTGACACTGAGATACCGCTGCTAGGCCTGTACCCTAAAGAGTAGAGAAAGACCTCATGTATAAACATTTATAGGAGTACTTTGTGTAGTGATAGAAAACTGGAACCTAAGGGGGTTCCCATCAGCTGGGGAAATGGCTAAAGGAATTACAGAATATGAATTTAACGGAACATCATTGTACCTTAAATTGTGAAAAGGATGGTTTCAGAGGAGCCTGCGAAGATTTGTATGAATTGATGCAAAGTGAACAAAACTAGAAAAACCATATCTACATATATAACACACATACATGCATGTGTACCTATACATGTGTATACATGTATATGCATATGTGTATACACATGTATGTGCAACAACATTGCAAAGACAACTTTGAAAGACTTCAGAACTTGATCATTGCAGTGACCGAGAGAATGAAGATGAAGGTGCTACTCTCTCGACGAGGGAGGTTGTGAACCTAAAAGAGATGTACATTTCTGGACATGGCCAATGTGAGAATTTGTTTTTGCCGCACCATGCAGTGATATATTGAGGGCTTTATTTTTTGTTAAATTTGCTCAGTGGGTAAGAGGAGTGGATAGATCGATTTTTTTAAAGTATGTTTATGCTATAATACATTTAATCATTTTATTAAATATATTGATTTAATACATTCAATTGTGCATTACTGTTGCTGCGAATTAAAAATCAGCTACTGAACCACAATGTCAAAGAGCAGTGATGGGAAGACACTGCATCGTTTGGCTACTAAAAATATTTTAGTGCCCTGCCTTAATGGGGTAGAATTACTATTGATATTACTGGTATTGGGAATGAACGAGGAGAAGTTATTGAAAACTGTGTAAAGTTAAGGTTTTTGAATGAATGCCATTTGCATTTTTGAATCTTTGTATTGCTGTGATGCATGCTGTGGAACAAAATATTTTCAAAAATAGAAATATTTTTAAAACTGAAGTCCTAAATCAGCTTTGTAAAATAGTAGATCAGCCTAGTTCCAAATCACAGGTGGAGGGGAGCAATCCTGAATATTGACTGCATAAACCGGTAGGAGCATGGAATCAGCATTTATTATTTGCCTTCTTGGTATGTCAGAACAAAGTTAAACGTTACTAGAAATATTTTAGAATCTGTTAATGGTTTTATAAAATACTTTTTTGATAGAATTTTTGGTAATAGAAAAGTTTCTTTTGGCTTCTAGCTCCTTAAAAGCTGTGTTTTGAGCAATATATAAAGGAATGTTAGGTGTAAATATTGCCTAGTATGAAGATTAAGGTGGGAAATACACTGATTTTCCATTTTTCAGATTTGGTGCCATGAAATATGAGTTTGTGAAGATGCTCATCTCAGCATTCTCTTGCTCTTTCTCTGTCTTTGTCTCTTTTCGTCTGTGTACCTGTGCAAAAACTATAAAAATAGGGGAAGCTAGGTGGCACAGTGGATAGAGCACCAGCCCTGGATTCAGGAGGACCTGAGTTCAAATCCTGTCTCGAACACATAACACTTACTAACTGTGTGACCCGGGGCAAGTCACTTAACCCCATTGCCTGGACCCCCCCAAAAAAATTCCCATCTCCAAAATTACAGTTTTGAACCAAAAAATAAGGGTAGTATGTGGACAAATTCTCTAGAGCAGGGGTTCTTAACTTTTTTGTGTCAGAGATCCCTTCCAAGAATATTGTTTTTAAATTCATAAAATAAAATGCATAGGATTGCATAGGAAACCAATTATATTGAAAATAGTTATCAAAATATTTTTTTTTAAAAAGTTCATGGATCCTGGTCTAAAAACCCACTACAGAGTTTTATAAAGCTCATCTATTCAAACCTGAAAACTGTCTAATACAATAGGAAGGAAACTAAATAAAAGCATGTCCCCACATTTACTGTAAAATGAAATTATTCATAGGAACAAATAAAAAATATTTTAAGTGGATTACTTTTAATTTTAAAATTTTAAGTAATGGTGACCACGTCTTCATTTGACATGTGTTTTGTCAAGAGATTTGAAAAATCTTTCAAAATGACAAGCTGAAAGGAAGTTCACCTTTTTTTTGATAAACATTTTAATTTATGGTAGCATATAAACTTTTTGAGTCACAGACTGTCTCACTTTTGTATGTTTCCCCAGTGCTTGGCACAGTGCCACTTAATACATATTCATAGATCATATTCAGGTTCCATTGTGTTCTTAATTTATTTGATTATGACTGAGCTATAGCAAGTGATATCCTTGGGTGGCAGAGCTTTTTTAGCAGGGAAATCTGTGTTCGAGGAGGACACATAGGAGAAGGCCATTGTGGAAGGTCACAGGTGAACTGAGGGAATGTAGTCACTAAGAAGTTGGTCCTGATGACTCAGAATGCCCCAAGTAGTACTCATGGGTGGCAGCATTCCAGTTTTAGCTCTCTCATTGCTTTTTTGCAGAAGGTTCATGCATTGCCACAGACTGTCCTCTACATGGCTGATGAGGATACTTTCGTTGGAGAGGAGGATGGCCATGGACACAAGAAAGGTGACTATCAGAACATAGGAGGATAATTTTCCTAAGTGGTCCTGCAGTATTGAACCAAACCTGAGAGTTGTTGACAGTTGTTGATAGCATTTTAGCCCTGTGGGCATGTCATAGAATGTATTAACAAATCCTTATATACGTGATGCTTTGTTCCAGATAACTTACAGTCCAGTAATGCAGCTCATCCTAGTTATTTGAAGGGTTTTTTTTTCTTCCTGAAATAAGTTATATGTAACTTAGCGTAGATGAAACTAGTCATTACAATGCCAGATGCATGTTGGCCAAAAGAACTGTTAGTGTTGAGTTATCCATTCTCTTAGAAGTTACTAGTAAAACATTCTTTTTGGTGTGCTAGAACATGAAGTCTCTCATGCTGTAATTACTTCCTCTGTGTTGAATGATACACATATTGAACTAAAGAGTTTTACTTATAGAATGGGGTAATTGTCCAAAGTGTTTACATAATCAAAAAAGTAGTTCCACTGTAGTATCAGCCAGTTAGAGGGAGAAAGCAGTAGGTCTTGTTTTGAAGTTGATTTGTGGCTTCCTTATTTGTTGGCAGTATGTTAGGGAAGGGGGAAATGTCTCATGGAAATTTTAGAACTTAGTCTGAAATGTTAGTTCCGGGGCGGGTGGGGGGAGTGGGAGGGAGGTGGGAAATCGTACTTAATTGTTACAGAGTAATCTTTAAAATATAAGCTCTTTTAAAAACCATACTGCATTAAATGACAACTTCCAAAGATTCCTTCAGATCTCAGGTTCTTTATCATTTTGTTACAGCACGAAAGAGAAATCCCCAGGAAATTGCACGTGCCATTGAGAAGTTGTTTCCAAAACGTTGCCATGTCCTCGGGGTTATAACCCCAGGAGTCATAGGTGAGAGAGCCCACTGAAGTGGGACAGACATGTCTGACTCTGTTCTTAAAAGAAAAAATAGGATTGATAGCTTTTGTTTTTACAATTCCTTCATTTCCTAAACATGTCCCTCCCCTCCCTCAGCCTTGGCGACTGCTGCCCCATGACAGAGAATTCCATAAAAGAGGAGAAAAGCAGGTCAGCCAAAGGAACACGTTTGCCGCGCTTCACTGTGTGGGCAGCGCTCGGCACTGCTTGTCCTCCACCTTTGCAAAAGGGGCGCATTTTATTCAGCACTCTAGTGACATAGCATGGAGCTTTTTTGGGAGGGGGGAGTCTTTATATTGTTGTGGTTAATGGGATTATTGTTTTTCTGGTTCTGCTTATTTCACTTTGCATCTTCCCTTCTCTGTTCCTGGTGGTCATCATTTCTGATGGAGCTGGGGAGATGTATAGATGTTTAAAAGCAAAATTATTTGGGTCTAAAAATGATAGTCACATTTGTTGTGCTGTTGCTCTACTTGACCTAAATAGTGTTTCCAAAGTTATGGCTAATATTTAAAAATTAGTTTATTTCTAAAATTAGCCTGAGGGACTGGTATATGTGCAGTGTAAGTTAAAATACTGACTTGAAATATGTAATTGGTGACTTGGGTAAAGGCATAAATGTCCTGCTTATCCGATTTAGAGATGATCCAAAACTTGGAGAGAAAGCTTATGTATTGGATAACAGAGTTGAGATCCAAAAACCATCTTTGACAGTCTGTAATGCAGTGAATTGAATATGAATGCCTCAATTTTTTTTTAAATGAGTTGTATGAGTACAGAGTGATGCAAGGATAACAAGACAGAATTATAAAACCCCTGGGTTTTAGTGGATTTAGTTGACTTTGAGCTTAGTATGAGTCAGCAGTGTACCGTGGCAGCAAAAAAGCCAACATAGCAATTAGCCTAATTTTTTCATTAACAGAGACGTGGTGACAAGAGCAGAGGAGGTGTTTTGCCCTAGTCAGACATCATCTGATCATACATCACATAGATGTGTCTTCTTCAGTTCTCATCCTCCCTCTTTCCTCTACCCCTTTGTCCAAAAAAAAAAAAAATCAGCTTAGCCTTAACTGCCTCGAATTTTTACTTTTGCTTCTAAGCAACCTCTCATGGGTTTTTCTGCAGCTTATTGTAATCCCTCTCATATGGGACATTCACTTGCCGGGTTATTACATAATTGTACTTGAAAATAACCCTCAGTGGGCCCAGACTGCAGAAGCTTTGAGTAATGGGTAGACATTACAGAGAGACAGATTTTGTCTCAACATAAGGAAAAGCTTACTGAGTTCACTTTTGAACTTAGGGGTTTCCTTGTGGGTTTTTTTTTCCCCCAGTATAAAATAAGTAACATTTGTTAGCTTTTTGGACCAATGTTGCATGTTACTCTAGATAGCAAAATTTAAGGTCTTTGGCACATAGAAAATGAAAACTTGATTTAGGTAGGTAGAATTTACTTCAGCTATCTAAGTATTTTCAGAGAAGACAATTTAAACAGTCTGACTTAATAAGGTATGTTTAATCCAGGTGTTCAAATGCCTTTTAAATATAGTGGTTATCTCTAAAATAACTATTAACTTCTCTCCTGTTACTTTTTTCCTTTTTGGGGGGAGGGTGGAGATTAATTTGTGAGCTTGGGGTTATTAATCCATTCAAGTAAGCTACTTTCTTTCTTGGTTTCATTCTAAATGCTTAAAAAGAAAGTGAGTAAGTAGAGTTTTGGGGAAGCGTAAAGATGAAATCTTTAATAAGTGATTGTTGACTGCATTTGAATCACAAAAGGTCTTTTGATAAATAACTTTCCCAATTTAATGTAGTCTAGATTGTTTAGCAGTCTGGCCTGGGAAAGAGCTCCTGCAGAAGGCAGGTTTTGGAGTTGAAGGTTAGACTAAAGCCAAGTGTGGTACTTTGTGCGTACTTTGCATTTTGATTTTTTTTCCAGTAACTCCAATGGGATCAGGTAGCAATCGACCTCAAGAAATAGAAGATGGAGAAGCTGGCTTTGCAATATTGTTCCCCAAAATTGATGGAGTAAAAATTGAGACTTTTCATTTTCTGAAGGATCTGAGAAAATGTATCCATGAAAGCAAACTAATTGAAGCTGGTAAGTTTTGTTTCTGTCAATGTTTTCACATTTGGTAGAATCTCAGTGTGTACTCAGGAAAGTCATTAAACAAGATAACTGAGGACTCCCATTCAGCAACCCACAGTGATAGCCTTTGTTATCCAGAGGACAGTCAGCCTTCAGGTAACCTTAGGAATGGGACAGAGCGAAATGAACAGTGTTTTTGGTAGGAAATTGCATTCTGGACTAGAAATAAAAGGAATCGTCTCATTTACTGGCAGTGGGCATAAAAGCTAAACTACACAATGACCACCAAAAAAGCAGCATGGAAAGGAGCCGGACAAGGAAAGGAAAGGGATGTGGACAAAGGAACCAACAAGATCAGAACGGTTTGTAGTCGCAGGGCACACAACCCTGCCCTCCCGAGAATACCAGTGATGCACAAGGCCACTACCTTTGCAAGGCTTTCAAAAGTGACTCCAGAGTTAGACTTTTCAGTCCTGTCAGTGCCTTGGTTTGTGGGGCCCTGAGGACTTGATCTAATCAAGGGGATCCTGTCTCCCCACGTATCTTGGGTTTCAGTTCTGTTAGCCATTTTTGTTCTGTCCTTTCCAGTTAACATGTCACTGTCCTTGGTAGGGAAGATGAGCACTAAGAGTTGAGCCGTTCTGCCTTCTCTCTCCTTTGATCCTCTTTTTGCCAACATAGCTTTAAAAACCCTTTTGAGTTTCAAAGCAGATATATTTGGTTGCAATATTATATAATGTGAAGTTTATAATTCTTTACATTTTAAAGAGGATGCCAAAGAAGAAAGTCTCCAATACATTTGGTAAATCTTAGACTTTTAGAGGTTTTAGGGAAAAAGATGTAGACAGTAATCTCATGGGGTATGGAGTTGGGCCTAGTACCCACAAAGATGAGGGTGATATCACGGATCCAGCACTGAGACTAAGCCAGGGCCTTTTGAGGAATGTGTGGCATGTATCTATCGGCCCCTCTTCCTGCTGCCATCCAACACATGCTACAACAAGACTGAGATAAGACACGATGAGAGTGCATCAGCTTTTTTCTCCAACATTAGAAGGAGGCTGCTTTCTTAGGTTTTGTTTAGTTAGCAAAAGTTTGGATTCAAGCAATAACTTTTTGTGATTTTGTTTTCTGGTAGGGAAAGCAATTCCAAAGAATTTTAATACATTTTGTGTTGTTGAATAGGGGAGTATGTTTCTTGACCCTTTAGGACTGTTTTCTGACAGTTTACAATCAAGTATGTTTATTTTATGTCTAGTTTGATTTGGGACCTTTGACAGGATTTTTATTTTGTAGGCTTGTTTGATGGAACATGTATCTTTTAAATGTTAATTGAATAGCTTTTGAATGATAACTTGTCAGTGGAATAGCATAGCCGTTTCTCTTGGGTGAGGGGAGGGTTTCCTCCCTAAGGTTTAATTTTTTTTTTCATTCAGAAGTTAAACACACTTCCCCCTGGATAGTTCCTTATACCAAATAGAAAGAGGATTATATGTAATACTGTAAATTTTTTATTACATAGTTTGCTTTTTTAAATGACATATATAATAAAATGAACAACCTGTTAAAGCCACCCTGTTTATACGTATTACCTTCTGCACTTCTTTCTGTTCTCTTCTGTGCATTTTTAAAAATGCTTTAATGGCCCTCTTTTCCCTTCCTTTCCTTTTCTGTATTGCAACATTAATTCCTAGCTTCCTTCTCCTCTCCTGATGCCACACTCAAAAAGAGAAAACCACAAACCTCAAAAAAACATAATCAACACATTCGCATATCTTATTCTGCACAGGGCTCACCTTTTTCGTGAGGTGGATGGCATGCTTCATCATCATTCTGAATTGTCAGTCATTGCCTTGATCAGAGTTCCCAAGTCTTTCAAAAAGTTTTTCTTTGCAATGTTGTATAAATTCACATGGTTCTGCTTACATCACTGTATCAGTTTATACAAATGTTTCTTTAATCCTTTCATAATTTGTTATGGAGCAGTATTATTTCATTACATTTTCAAACCAGAATTCCACAATTGATGAGCAGCCCTTTAGTTTCCAGTTCTTTGCCACTACAAAAAGACATGGGCCTTTTTCATCTTTATTTAATCCCTTTGGGATGTAGGTCTAGTTAGTGGTATTGCTGGGCTAAATAGTATTCACAAGTTAGTGACTTCCAAATTGCTTTCCAGAATGGCTAGACTAAGTCACAACTCTACCCGGTTCTCTGTTATTCAGCTGTAAATGATCCAGATTTATATTATCCAGGTCCTTGATATTTTTTGCTCTTAGGATTTGTTACTATGGAATCTCCTTCCTTTTTCTGTATTCTTTCATGTAAGCTATCTAAGATGGTCTCCTACTTAGAGCATCAACTTTTTGCTCTATAACATTAACTTTTGGGAAGAGGTAACTAAGTTTCTGTTCTGTTTATGAAGGTAGAAGTTCAGATTCAGGAAATCAGCTGTAATCATTTCAAAGCCAGAAGGAACTAGAGGATGTCTGACCTAGGGCCCTGAAAAGTAGAGTGACTTGTCCAATAGAGGGCCATTGGTGTGGAAAGGGAAGGGAAAACCTACTTGGTTTTTAGTACTGAGATACTTTTTTTTTTAATTGGATGAATAAGGTTTTAGATGATAAGTGAATTTTGTCTAATACAGTCATAGAAAGTAATAACTGCCTATAGCATGATCAAGTGAGAAACAATGAGATCTCAGTGACTATACTAAATTCTTTTAATCTCTGTCATTTATAGAGGCGGCAGGGCATAGTCGCCAGAGGGCTCATTTTGGAGTCAGGACAGTCCTAATTCAGTTTTGCCTCTCAGTGCTGTAGGCAGACCTTTTGATACAGACTGTATTGTAAAACTGCATAAATAGAGGGAGTTTCTCCATCTGGAGTTCCCCTAATGTAGGGCTTCTTAAACTCTTTCCACTGATGACCTCTTCACCACTTCTTAAATCGTGGGTCGAGACCCCATGTGGACTGAGTCTAATGGAGGAATCACAAATCTAACTTTCTCTCTGCCAAAAAAAATTTCCGTATTAACAGCTTCCCAACACTTCAGGGCCATGTAATAGTTCTTTTACTTTTTGAAGATGTACGTCTCTTAAGTTGAATTCAACAAATATTTTTAAGTTTGCAGAGAGTTCTGCTCAGCATTGGGTGGGGGGGAACGAAAGGATAAAAAGTTTAGTTGAGGCAGTAGCCTTGTCTTTGTGAAGTTTACAGTCTAGTTGGGAGATCGTGTTGGGCCTTGATTCTCTAATTCTGTTGGCAGGTGGACTCATAGGATGTCAGAGTTGGGAAGAACCATTATCTAGTCCTGCTCCCTTAATGGAGGAAGAAACTGGAGGCTGAAGAAGGGAAGTGACTTGAAATAGTTCTGTAGGAGGTGAAAGAGAAAACCAGTTAGAGAGGAAGAAAAAAGACTGCCATGCTGCAGTGAGAGCCCAGCGGAAGTGGGCTAGCTTACCTGTGCCACTCAGCAGCATGGGAGGAGTAGAGGAAACAGATGAGGAGTGGTGAGCTGTGATAGGACAGTTAGGGGTAAAGAAGATGTGAAAACAGGGATAGTTAACCCTGGGGTCAAGATGGGGAAGGGAGGAAAGTGAAGTCAAAGCAGGGCTAATTGTGAAAGTTCTGAGAGCTGGCAGGTTTGGAGGACTTAATGAAGGGGAAGACTAGGTTTGGGGGCTGAGGCATAGGGGGAGAAGTGAGATGAAAGGAAGTTATGGTCGTACAGAGTAAGTCAGAATTTTTAATTAAGGAAATGGAACACTTGTGGATAATGATGAGATCCAGTGTGGGACCATCCATATATGTTCCTGAAATAGTGTAAAGGAGTAGAGAATAAAATTGAAGGAGGCTGAGGAATTGGGAGATTAGGGAGCATCATTGTGATGACGGAAGTTCTACCGTGTGTGTGTGTGTGTGTGTGTGTGTGTGTGTGTAAGGGCAGGAAAGAAAGATGGTTGTGCAAGTGCTTCGGTCTTTTGAGAAAGGCAGTCCTCCCCAACAACAGCCACCATGATATGGATTGGGTAGAAAATTTTGAGTCTACTTCAGAAGAGAAGTTGAGTAAAGGGCATTGAGGAGCAAAAGGAATGTTTAGACTCTTTCTCTAGTGTCAGTGTGTTGGGTCCTTCAGCCTAATCCCCTCCCTACTCCTTTATAAGATAAGATACAGCCAGGGCTGGAGATCTGGGGATGCTTTGTCCTTGAGGGGAGCCAGATTTCAGTAAGAGAGAAATTTCAATAATAGGTAGCATCATGAGAGAAAGATGCAGGATGAAGGGAAGTCTTTCATTATAGAATGGGAATTCCAGAGGGCACAGTGGAAGGGATGGTTGGGGTTGGAGTGGGGCATGAGTGGGATTGAGTTGGGGAAGATGAGCATGAGGATGGGATGTGGGGATTGGAAATGGTTTTCTCCTCAATAACAACCACAAGAATAATAATAACTAGTAGCTTCTCTGTGCCAGGCACTATACCAGATGTTCTACAGATATGTTGTTTAATCTTCATCACAACTGTGGGAGGTAGGTATTGTTATCTCCATTTTACTGATGAGGGAAACTGAGACAAGCAGAGATTAAATGACTTGCTCAGGGTCACTCAGATAAAAAGTGTCTGAGGCCAGATTTTGATTATTACAGGGACAAGGACAGAAACCGAGGAAGACAGGTGGTAATAGGTGGTAGGTGGGTAGTGAAGCCCACAGTCTCCATGGGGTGTTGCTGAGGATTGCCAGTAAGATCTGGCCTTGAACTCTTCTGTATGTGTTACATGGGCAAGTCACCAGTGACTCACAGGTCCAGTCCCTATTCCTAGATATTCTGAATTTCCAGAACATGTTGTGTCCCCTTACTTTAAATCCATAAGCATTTATTTACTGCCTATTAGGTGCTGAAGACAAAGACAAAAAAAATACCTCCCCGCAAAGAGCTAATGTTCTATTGGAAGAGGCAACCTGGAAATATGTGTTTGTGTATGCATGTGCGTATGTATGCATGTATCTCCCTATATATATATACCTACACATACATGCATATGTTCACACACATATAATATAAAATGAATATTAAATAATTAATATTATTACCCAAGTACAAGGTACTTGGGGTCATTGGCATTTGGGGGTACGTCTTGAAAGAAATGAGGGAACCAGCTTACTGTAGAACAGGAGCTCCTTGAGGGGAAGGATTATCTCACTTTTGAATTTGTGTCCCTGGTGCGAGGCACACAGTAGGACTTCGGTGATGAATAACCTCTTGTTTAAAGGCTCAAGCTAATCAGAACTCAACATCAGACTCAGGATTGACCAGTGTTCATTTATCTCTCATAAGCCCTTTTGGATCTTGGTAGCTTTAGCTTTTCAAACAGGATGGAGGTGAGGATAAAAATCCATGAAGATATAGAGTGTACATTCCCATGACTGATGAATTAATTCTCTAGACCATTTATTAAGTACCAGCTGTGCTAGGAGTTTAACTATGATTCAGTTATTTAATGAAATGCTTCTATAAAGCACTCTTCCATATGCTTGGGTTACATAACTTCAAAATGAGTCTTTAAGCAGTTAACTTCAGAATTGTTTCTTTAAAAAGAATATAAATTCTCCCAGATGTTAATAACTCCTTGCTTTCACTTTAGGCCTGGCTGTCATTGGAATACTTTTTCAGTTGGCTGTCCTAAATCTGCATATGGTCTTAGTATACAGCAATTTTACTTTTTAACAGTGAATCCTGAAGTTCTACCACTTTATTAAATAAATTTAGCTATACTACATATAAAGCCAAATCTGAAGTCACTTTGTTTCAGACAGAAGTAACTATATGTTACTCAGGGTTTTCAGATACCTACTGATTCCTAAATCCACTGTGAGTGCACTTTTGTTGCTGTTGTTCTAAGGATTATTCATGTATTTAGGCTTAAAATGGTCTCCAATATTTGCTGCATTTTTTGTTTTGAATCTCAGAGGCCAGTTCAGTTCAAGCACTCATGTAGGTATCCACAGGAGTAGAGAATTTTATATTGGAAGAGATAACACTTTAAGTGAAAAGAGCACTAGATGAGAGAAGATGATGATATAGAGGTCTTGCCTTGTTTCTGCCACAAATTTCAAGTACAACTTTGGGAAAATAATTTCTGTTCTCTGGGCCTCAGTTTCCTCATCTGTAAAAGGAGAAGAGAAGGTAAGACTAAGTGATCTCTCAGTGTCCTTCTATGCCTGTGACTGACATTTGTTTTTCTTTTTGTCCTTTACAGGTCTTAAAAACAATCCTGAACTGACATTTGTTTTTCTTTTTGTCCTTTACAGGTCTTAAAAACAATCCTGAACTTAGAGTGGTCCTTATTTTTGGCTACAATTCTTGGAAGATAGGAGCTGCTGGATTTCTTCAAAAAGTAGTCAACATTCTCAATGAGAAGAGCGTTATGCTGGCTGGTGGCCAGGTAGACCGCTTGACCTCACTGACATCAGAGAGGTTTGTGCTCGTACTGCTCTGTCCTGGGTGGGAATAGGGGAAGAGAAGTATTAGAATCTTGGCACTCTTGGGGGAGTTTTTTGGGAGTGGTATCATCCCTTCACCTCCAAACTTGCTGGCATAATTTATCTGGTTTTGTAATAGACAGGGAGGGTGGTATATTGAAGAAAACAACAATAATAGCTGGCATTTATATAGGGGTTCAAGGTGTGCATCCTCATGCCACCCTGTGAAGTAGGTACTGTTATTAACCTCATTTTATTGATGTGGAAATGGAGTGTAAGAAAGGTAGAGTGACTTGCTTAGGGTCACACAGCTAGTAAGGGTCCTGACGCAGGATTTGAATGGAGGGCTTCCTGATTCCCAAGTCCTGACTTCTAGCTGCTGTTTTACCTCCCTGCCTAAGAACACTCAATTTACATACTAAGACCTGATTTCACCTCCCAGCTCCCAAACTTAGGGGATTCCTTGACTTGCTCATCTGTTAAAGGAGAGGACTCTGAGATCCTAGAGCCAAAAGAGCCATGAGTGGTCATCTTGTATTTCACCAGTGAGGAAATGGAGGCCTAGGGAGTGGTGGCTCACCACCCCCTTCTCTGCTGTGCTGCCTCCTCTAGTTCTGGGAGGTCAGTTTGCAAAGGTCAGTGGTGTGCCCTCACTGCAGGAGTACTCCAAGTCACCCCTTTTCCAGGTTCACTCAAACATAGCCCTCCCACATGAATAGGTGGATATTATACTTACCCTTCAGTTAACGAAGTCCTTCTCCTTGCCAACGCAAAGCCATCAGCCTGCACAAGTGATCCATTCCATCCCATCGTCTCCAGCAGACTGCCCGCCTCCTTCATCATCCTACACATGCCCGTGACTCTCCCAGCCTTGAAAAGACATCCCTTGATCAACCCTCCCTGCCAGTCAGCCGGCTTTGGGTGCCGACTGCCCCAGGCTTTGTGCTGAGAACTGGGGTTGTGAGTACAAGAGGGAAGCAGTCTCTATTGTCAGGGACGTTTGGGAGAGACTCCCAAACTCGCAGTCAGAGGAATCGGGAAGGGCTTTATGCTTGCATGGTGTCCTACGGGAAGAGAGGGGACTCGGAGGCAGCAAAAAGACATAGAGGCAGAGTCAGTCAGGGGTCAGCAAGTATTTATGGAACATTTACTGTGTGCAAGGCCCAATGCCCAGTGCCCAGGGTACAAAGAAAGGCTAAACTCCTTGAGAAAACCGTCTATCTATATGTGATGCTTCTCATTCCTCTCCTCTCACTTCTTCATTCTCCACGGTCTGGCTTATGACCTCTTCATTCACCTGAAACTGCTCTCTTTAATTGGGATGGTCTTTTCTCAGTCGCCATGAGAGTTCTCGATCTTGTGACATGCTGTCTGCCTGCTCCTCGGCCTCCTTCACTGACCCTTCTTCCAGGTCATGCACATTAACCACGGGGATCCCGCCCCCATCTTTTCTCCTCCCTCTCTGTGCAGGTCGTTCTCAGATCTCTGTCTGCCCCGTCATCTTCCTCCTGAGCTGCAGTTCCACATCACCCACCATCTTTTGGATGTCCAGCATGTCAACCGCAGCTCTCACTCTCTTTCCCCACAGATCCTCCCATATCTCCCATGACTTGCCAGGGCACCATAACCCTCCTGCTGACCTAGACTCCTTGACTTCTCCTTCTACCCATCCCATATTTCTAATCTGTTGTCACATCTTGTCATTTCTACCTTCGCGTGTCTTGTGTACGTTGCTTTCCACTCACACAGCTCCGATTCTGATGCAAGCCCTTTATCACCCCCTGCCCTCTGGGCAGTCTGCCTGCGTCAGGCTTCTTTCCACTCGAATGCTCCTCTGCTCTCGCTGCCAAAGGGAAGGTCTATCAGTGGTACCCTGTTGCCCCCCACTTAATAAGCCCCAGGTGGGGTGAGGATACTAGTTGGAGCTGGTGGGATCAGGGAATGCTTCATGTAGAAAGGGGCAGTGCTTGAGCTGAGCCTGGAAGGAGCAGAGTGCAGGGGTGACCAAAGGGGCTAGCCTGTGGAAAGACCTACACTGGGGAGGCGGATGGTCACGGGTGCAGAATAATGAGGATGTCAGGATGGCCAAACCCTGGAGAGCATGGAGGGGAGGGATCAAGAAGTACATCCACTGGAAAAGCGGAGAAGTGCAGATGATAAAGCTTTCCTATCTTCACACTGCCCTCAGACTTTTGGGACACCCGGTATTTGCTCTTAGAGACAATGGGGAGCAAGTGGGTTTATGGAAAAGAGCTGATGTGATCAGACTGAGCGTTAGGAAAACGACTTTGTTGGCTAAGGGGAGTGGGGAGGCCACATGGACAGCTCTTCCAGGCTAGGTGGGAGATGAAGAGGGCTGTTTGAGATGTTCTGCGGACAGAAAGGACAGGGTTTGGAGACGAGGTGATGAGGAGAGGAGGGCTTTGAAGGTCCCAGCAAAGTTGCGCTCTGGGCCGCTGGCAAGAGTGGCGGTGCCCTCCTGAGGAATAGAGAAATTCAGAAGAGGGAGGGGTTGGGGGGGAGGAATAACAATCTTGTTTAAAAGTAGAACATCGCGGTTCTGAAAGGTTTTCTTCCCTGGAGACGCATTTTCATTTGGTTCTCATGAGGAACGTTTTATTGTTACAAGCTTTTATTTGTCTTCAGAGACGTCAGCATTTGCTCCCCTGTTCTGTTCTTTCATTCTAATGCTCTAGGTAGAAAGTATGTAGTGGTTCCTTGTTGAAAGTGTTCCTCAGTGCTGGATGTTCACGAAGCCTCTTGTTCTGCTAGAACAACCTCTGAATCACGGCAGTCATTACACTGGGATTAAATCCCCCAAATAGCCTCTGCATACTCTCAAGGCAGTTGAAGGTCCACAAAAAGAAAATTCAAACTTTTATTTCAGAACAACATCCATCCAGAGATGGGTTTTTTTTTTCATTAATTCTCATTTTTGTTTTGAATGTAATCAGTATTTGCATATAAATAGAGAAAAAGAGGATTGTACAAGAACCTGTAGGCCTGTGTAACCTTTTTTTCTTTAAATCTATTCGGATCAACCTGTGGTTTTCTTGCTTGCCTAGAGTTCTTTCTTTTCTCTCAATTTAAAAAAAGATACATAAATCATCCTCTTTTCTTTGCTACTCCTCCTTTGCAGCCCCATTCTCCCCCTCCTCCCTTTTGGGAGGAGAGACAAAACAAAAACCAAGCTCTTGTAGCAGACAGACGTAGGCATGCCAAACATATGGCCACCTTTGGCTTTGAGCAAGCTTCATTTTGCACCGTGTTCCATTGCCTCTGTGTCAGGGCTGGTGCCCGAGTTCATCGCCTGTCTGGGCAGCTTCAGCAGCAGCCCTCTGAGACTGTGGCTGGTCACCACTAAGGAGAGTCCTTATGTCTTTTGGAGTTATTTTTCTTTATAATGTTGTTATTGTATAAGTTCTGCTTTTATTCACTTCACTCTATATCCATTCATAAGGTCTTCCCAGGTTTCTCTGAAATTGGGAACAGTTTCATCTTCGCTGAAATACTCTTCCATTATGTTCATATTCCATGACTTGTTTGTCCATTCCCCAGGTGACTGCCACCCCTTGGTTTCTAGTCCTTTGCTTCTACAAAAAGAGCTGCTATAAATATTTTTGCACATACGGGTCTTGAAATTTCTTCTTTTCTTTTTGATATCTTTTGATAATACAAGAGATTGTATTAACTGAGTTAATTATATTCTCTGCCCTTTGCACAAAATTGGTGTCCTTAATGACCCCTGTGGTTTGAACAGTGATGGAAAAGCAGTTTTGAATGGAGGGTTATAGCCAGTACTTCATAAGGGAGTGCACAGGAAGGAAGAAAAAAGCCTGGGGTAACGAATTCTATATAATGGAATCCCAAATGCCCCATTCCTTGACTCACAACACTGGGCAGGCAGAGTTCAGAATATACCTTTATTAATTGTAACCGTTGCTCCTGCACATCTGCCACTGATCTTCCTCCGTGCCCCTTAGGGCTATCTCTGTTTTACCCCAGTCCATCCACTCTTTTTGTTACTATTGTCCAGATGTGATCATTGCTTCCACTTCAAAACTTCAGGTAATTTCTGCCAGTCTTGCTTACCTCTGAGGCCAAATTGTGACTTACTCTATATACATACTCTGAAAAACCTCGAGTGAAACTTGTCAGTTGTAATATGCTCAGAGTCCAGTATGGTTTGTCATTAAAAGGGAAGGCTGCAGTGTTAACCCTTTTGTCAGATCGTGTCCCAGACTATAGATGTAAGTTTCTTTAGCAGAAATGCGATTTAGAACAGAGGTGTCAACATGCCCTGTGGCAAAGGTGGCAGTAGAACCAGATTGAAACGTAATTAGGAAATGTTTTAACAAAATAATGATACAGTACAACATAGATAATGTTAATTTGTGGTTTTCTACATCATTGTGTTCTCTTCAAAGAGCTTGACACCACTCGTTTATAAGATTGATGCTGTGGTTTGAGTGTTAACTGAGTTGTTTATTTCCCTCGTGAACCTGTGTAGAACAATCTTGGGAAGTAGTGATTAGCAGTAAGGAATGGTACAAAATAACTGTTCTCATTCCCTCGGATAATTTGTAGAGGTACCCAGGAATAGACAAACTGGCTAGTATTGTGACGTAAAATATCACTTGAGGGGCAGCAGCTGGATTTCAAATGCTCACCTTTTTTTGCCTTTTCAATATTTCTAAAGACATCAGGATAAAGAACATCAGTGATGGTCTTTAATACTGCTTCAGCTCCTCTTTGCTTCCCACAAAAGTAACCGTAGACCCTGTTAGAGCTTAATAGCCGGGTCCCTGTGGCTTTTCCGACTCAGGGTCGGGCCCAGCCGTACTTGATGGCAGAGCAGCAACTCACCCAAGAAGGTTGGCCCTCAGGTAGTGGCTCAGGAAGGCCCCTCGCTTGGGTAGCTCAGGGGCAGGTTTGGACATAGACTTGCAGGTCTGTTCTGTACCACCTGGGTGGGGTGGGAGAGTGTTCAGGTGAGCCACCAGCCCCAGGGCCCACCCCGGCTGCCTGCAGGCTGGAGCCTGTGCTCACATGTCCCTTCCCTTTCAGTAACCCCCCCACCAACGAAGCTTGTGGTGTAGTTGGCCTCTCCTTCAGTGGCCCACAGATCCAGAGCGCGTCTGTTCTGCTGAACCAGGATGTGAATGATGAGAAGACTGCCGAGGCGGCCATGCAGCGCCTCAAAGCTGCCAACATCCCTGAGTACAACACGTTTGGCTTCATGTTCGCCTGTGTGGGCCGAGGCTTCCAGTACTACCGGACCCGCCGGAACGTGGAGGCAGACGCCTTCCGGAAGTTCTTCCCGACCGTCCCCTTATTTGGCTTCTTTGGAAACGGAGAAATAGGGTGTGATCGAATAGTCACGGGGAACTTCATCCTGAGGGAGTGTAATGAGGTCGAGGATATTTTGCTCCATAGCTACACCACTGTCATGATTCTCATCCACCTCGGCCCCACCAAGTGAGGCGCTTGCGCTTCAGGGGTGCCTACAGCCCACCATCCCCCAAAACCTGGGGGCATGTACATATTTCAGATGAAAGTACCTTTAGAAGTATCTGTTTTATAACTTTGTTTAATGCTCTCAAGATAATGTTGGAATAGGTCTAACAATGTCAAGTGAAGGAGAACTTGTGTGTAAGATAATACTGTGTGGAGGTCGTCACTGGGTCAGCTTGGGGGAGATAGAGGGCAAGTGCCCGGGGTGATGGGTGACTGCCCCTTACCTGTGGTGAGAGGGGAGAGCCCTGGATTGGAGTCCACCCCCTCCCCCCACTGCCACGTAGTAGCTGTGTGCAGAACCTTTCTGAGCCTCAGTTTCCTCATCTGCATAATGGAGAGAACACTTGCACTGCCTAACTCACAGGGTTGTTGTGAGGCTAAAATGGAATGTGTGTAAAGCGCTTTGTAAACCTGAAAGTGCTGCAGAACTGTGTAAGTGATTGTTGTCAGATAATGATCATCTTGGGGCCATAATCATGCAGTTTTTTGTTTTCTTCAAAAACATATACAACATTGGTCTGTTGTCTCCTTAAGGGAGACCTTTTCTCAACTGCATCTGTTTTTCAGACACTTTAATAAAGTTATTACATTATTTTTACTCATTGCATAAAAGTTAAAATAAAATATTTTGTGGTGGTAGTTGGTCCATTGAAATTATTCAGTCTGAAGAACAAATTTGCAAGACTAATCAGCAGTATTACTTTATACATGAAAGCTATTCCTTTCCATTTGTCAATAAAGAAAACACAAATAACTCTTTTTTGTCCCCCTTCTTTTTGTAGCTGAACAGCAGCAGGCACCCACCCTAGAGTAAGTTCACTGTTCTCATTTATGAATTGGACATGACTGTTATGCCGCTAGATGGCATCAGCCATTAGGGAGAAAGGGGAGGTTAGTACACACACCTTCCACAGCAAGCACTGAGCAGCAGCACAGCCGTGGCTGCGGACAGTGCCAGCGGGAGGCAGCTCACCGAATCATGGGAAGAGCCCGGCTTCGAAGGTCACCTCTCTTTCCCAGTCTGTGTGATCTGGAGCAAATCAGTTCAGCTCTGTGACTGTTAACTCATCTGCAGAATGATAGGTTCACACTAGATTGACAAGTTTCCTTCCACTTCTGAATCCTAATGAACTCTGTCTAGAAAGGGTTATCGTTGGTTCTCTGTACCGTTATTTCATTTCCCCATAGGGGTCCTCAAAACCTAGTGCTTAGCCCCCTTGATTAAATGAGGCTAAGGACAGTACTTCATTTTTAGTGGCACATCAAACCGAAGGAGCTGCATTTCTGGAAGAACCAAGACAGCTCAACTCGCATCCAAACAACATATTCAGTTCTAGGTAACACACCTTGAGGACCCTGATGGATGAGTTGTTAAGATGGACCATCGCCTATTGAGTATCATCTGAAGAAATGAGGGTTGCTTAACTTGGAGAAGAGAGTCCAAGGGAAATAACCTGACAGTTTCCAGAGTTGAACAGGGCTGTCACATGTTCTGCTTGGATCCAAAAGGCAGAACTAGCGGCAAAGGAGAAGTTGGGGAAGCCGGTTTCAAATTAAACCAGGAGGAACAGGCTTTACAGTGGGAGCTGTCCACCAGAGGAATGGACCGCCTTGTAGGGTAGTGAGTTGTACATCACTGAAGGTGTCTGAGTAGAGGCTGGATGACTGCTGGTCAAAGGATTCCTTTTAAGATAAGGGTCCACCCAGGTGACTTATTTCCCTCTACAAAGTGGTTTTGGAGTTTATCTGTAGAATCTCTGGCTTCTGCAGTAACTGACTATTGGCCAGTTAGGTGATGCCCTTGCTAATTTTCTATACTTTTTTATGATGATGGTTCTGAATTTGTTCTGCCCAAAAACAAGCACCCACCACCACCCCTGGCCTTTTTGGCTATTTGTGTCCTCTACCAGACGAGTACATTTTCATAAAATTCAACCCCTCACCCTAAACAGATTCTGTTACCTAGAAAATTCTATACAAGCAATAAGGCCAAGAATTGAATGGGTCATTTTATTTATACAAATAAGCACATATGAAAGGTTTAGGGGTGTTTCCCAAGGGACGTTCATTCTGTCGTTAGAGCAACTATCAATAGGATATCCAGAGGATCCCTTTCCATCTGAGACCAAACATCTTTCTTGTATGTTTACCGCCTTGTCCTAAGGCAGAAAGGGTTGTCAAAGATAGAAGAGGGAGCCGAGCTGAAAAGAAGATGAGCTTTCTGATGAACATGACCACTGTCTACCTGCTCCTGAGAGAACGCTGTCCCCGAGTTCAGTGACTATGTAACATTTGGTTTTAAGCTAGGATGGCTGGCTGGCTGCAACTGTGAAACACCCTTAGCTTAGATAAGAAAGACCACCAACAAAGGAGTAACTTAGTACTGCCTCAGCTGAAAGCTAGACACTACATGTCTATGTGTGAAGAAATTGTGGAGGAATAGGGAGGTGGTGGCGAGAGCCTTGGACTCAGGATCAGAGGGCTTGGGCTTGAGGATCAGATCTATGTGACCTCAGACTAGTCACATTTTCACCCTCTGCCTCATCTTGAACCTGGCCATAATAACGAATGAATGAACCGCTCTCTTTGGCTCATCAGTCAAAGGAGGTGGGTTGGACTTGGAATGTGAGGGGACCTTGGGCTTGGACTTAGACTAAGCCTAGGTTACTTTCAAAGGCAGAAACCAAAATGGAATCCTTACCCCAGATAGAGAATGTGAAGAAAGCCCAGCGAGGACACAGCTGAATAACATCTGCAGGAGTAAAGCCTGAGCTCCCACACTGCTGACTGTGCTTCTGCAAAACTATTTACTTACTGTTGAACTGTTCACTACTTAATCAAGACTGATCCACTCAGCTACTTCCTTTTTCACCTGTGGTTTTCTTCCCAAAGGCTGCTTGGTTGAATCTTTTTTCATTACCTGTTTATGCCATAGACTAGTTGACAGGGACCCCATAATGCCATCACCCAAAGCACTGTCAGGTAACAACCAAAGCCCTGGTCTCGGAATCAGAAGAGGCGGCTTGGAGTCCTGGTTTTGCCATTTACAGTGGATGACCTTGGACAAGTCATCCCTTTCCCCTCTGTCAAATGGCGCTACATCTATGTCCCGTTTCTGAGGGCTGCTTTGAAAACAAAGTGAGTTGGAAATCCGAGCTGGAGAAGTGGCAAATGAGACCTTTTCCACCACCACCCCAAAAGACCAGGCCCACTAGGGCCCAGGTCACTGAAAGGTGGGAGCCTCCCTTCTCCCCCTCCGTCCCAGTCCACTTGAGAGTCTCAGCTTGAACGTGCAGTGAGGTGAGAAAGCTGAATTTAGGCCATTACACATGAAGTAGGGATCCAGCACAGAAAGCTATGGTCAATGCTGAAGGCAAGGAGGCATGAAACCTTCAGAAAACTTCCAGAAGGATAAAAGTGAGCTTTTGTGGGTTTTAGTGTCCACCAGACGTCCTTGGCCAAGATAAACCTTGTGGTGAACCTTGTTTTTACAGATGGATGCATGTGGCCACAAACACTTGAGGAGGAGCAGGAGATGGTAAAAGCAGTTGGCTCTTGTTTTTAAAGCACTGCAGATTGGCTCAGGACCTGCTTCAACGAAACCCCTAAAATAATTAAAAATACAATAAGAAATTTTCGTACATCTTGTCAGCTAAAGCATTTCCCTCATATATACAAATGCAAATATTAAAAATGAACAGTTCTTTATGTGTCTGGGAGGAAGCCCCAAAGCATTTTTCATGTAGCTTTAATATGAATTGGACATGAGTATCTTCCCTCCATATAATATTTATAACATACTTCAGAGCACAAATAGAGCTGGAAAGGACCTTAGAAGTCATTGAGCCCAAGAGCCTCATTTTGTATCTAGGTAAACTGAGGCCTGGAGTGATCATTTATCTTGCCTACGATCACACAGATAGTAAACACGGTAACTGGAATTCAAACCCATGTCTTCTCTTTAATCAATTATTTATTTTTAGTTTTAAATATTCACTTTTATAAGATGTTGAGTTCCAAATTTTCCTCCCTCCCCACCCTCAAGACAGCATGCAATCTAATACAGGCTATACATATACAATTCTATTAAGCATATTTCCACATCAATTAAGTTGTGAAAGAAGGATCAGAACGAAAGAAATCCATGTCTTATGATACCACAATTAAAATAGCTCTTACATTTCTAACCAGTATTTCCTTCCGAGCATAGCATATGAAAAAATAATATCTTGTATCTCTCATCAATTCTGATTTAAAAATTAGAGCTGTAGAAATTTGAGTTTGTAGAAAAGTGAGGTTCCTTGTAAATCTCTATCCCTACATCAGCAAACCCAGCAGTTTGCCTGTGCAGTCATGGGAATGCAACTCTCTGGGCTGTGAAATGAGATGACTTTAGGGGCCATTATCACCCCAAATTTATGATTCTGTGACCTTATGAGATCCATGAGAGGACTGTTTTAAATGTAGGTGATTGCTCGATTAAATCACTAATCTTTTTGCAGGTTAATGCTTGATGAATGAACATCTTTAACATATGGCATGCCAGGATTGTGTGTGTGTGTGTGTGTGTGTGTGTGTGTTAGAGTTCTTTGGCACAGTCTGGGGAAACCTATGGACCCTTTCTCAGACAATGATTTTTAATGCATAACATAACATACTCATGGTTATGAAGGAAACCAAAGGTGAGTGAAAATAAAGATGTTAGTTTTTTCCCATCCAAGTTTACCTCCTGAAATCTATCTATGGATCCCTTGGGGAATTTGTGAACCCCTCAGTTAAGAACCCCTCATCTAAAAGATATACTATTCAAGACATTCCTAGAGTCTCTGATGACATTACTTGGATTATTTTAATGAATAAAAGATGGAGATTTGGAATGAAAAAAAAATGTTTCAATCATTGAAAAGCCAGTGAAGGTTTTAGGTAATTGATAACAAATTATATCCCCCTCCTCAACCAGAGAGGCGGGGGCTGTGAGGAAAGTGCATGTGTAAGCAGCCGTGACACTAGACAGCAAGGCAGGCTGAAAGGTCAAGATATTTAAGGGTTGGAAGGAAAAAGAGAAGCTGCCTCCTTCCTCTTCCTTTCATGGAGGAAGATCTGGCTATCTCTCCAAGTTCCCAGGTTTCTTTTAAAGCCCCTGTATTCTTAAAATGATGGCCCTCTGGGGATCTGAAAGTAAGAGTAAGATTATTCCAAGTTGGCTCCATTAGCTTCTAGAAAAAGGAAGAAGGCATTGGCCGCCGTCTTCAGCCCACGCTAGAACAGCAGTCTGAGTTCACATGGTTCACACTTTCATCTTTAGTTCCCTGGCTCAGGGACCCTCAGCTGCTGCTGGTCTCCCATTGCCTCATCACAATCTCTGCTTTCTCCTTAACCTGTTAGACTTGGCCTTCTGCCTCCCTTTCCTAGTTCAGTTCCCCATTCTCTCTGCCTCCTCCCACCCACCGCAGGTCAGGCTCAAAGGCACTCTGGGAAATGTGCCCTCAGGTCTATTCTGAAAACTCTTAAGAATACAATCCACTCACATCTGTTTCTCTTTCTACCTTGCCCAAATCTTTTGACCAATTCCAAGTGAAGTGGGGAAAATGACATGTAAAATGGACATCCAAAGAATCAAACCTGAATTTCCTGTTGTGTCCAGTAACTAGAATATATCTGTCATCTAAGAATGAGCCTAGTCAAATTCATGTAGGCTCATCACCATATTGGCCATGAGGTGATGAGATGTGTACCCACTGTGTACCCAAGCTCCTCTTCCCCAGCTTGGTTGCAAGAGGATGATGATGGCCACAGAAACTCATGACAACCCATTCCACTGAGGGCTGGAGATAGGCTCACGGAAGGTACCGAAATAAAGTTTTCCCTCAGTTGCATCTCAATGTGATTTTAAGGAGTTAATGGATAATTTAAGAATTTAAAAACAGCCTTCTTCCTCTCCCCTAACTGCTGATGCCTGATTAGATCAAGAAAGATAGAGAAGCCTGACCACTTGTGTATATTATTCCCATCAGGTGACATGCTCCCTTAACAAAGGAAGAGGAAATGGTTAGAAAAGCTTTTAAAAATACATATACATCTACCTTCCATGGCCTCATTAATTCCCCTGCAGCTTGGATGTAATATCTTGGTTCACTTGGCTGGTGTTTCTTCAATTCTCTCCATGTTCTAGGGAAAGTAACATTTTATTGATCAAAGGCATTTTGTTTGCCTCTCAAATCATTGTTTCTCTCCCTTTCTTTTACCTGTGGACTCCTACTTAGGCCCAGGAGACAGGGTGCTGGGCCTGGAGTCAGGATGACTTGATGGCATTAGAGAAAGATACCCTGGAATCTTAAGCTGCAGATTTATCTAGTCTTGCCTTGGGAGAGTGAGTTCATGGTCTAGCTACATGTATCCGGCTAGGGTGTCACTGTTGTTTGCAGAGTGCTTTACACATATGATCTCATTTCATCCTTACAACAATCCTAGGAGGCAGATGCTATTATTATCCCCATTTTACAGATGAGGAACCTGAGGCAGACAGAGGTTGAGTGATTTGCCGAGGATCACACAGCTAATTAAATGTGAGGCTGGATTTGAATGCAATTCTTCATCTTCCTGACTCCAAGTCTAGGGTTTCATCCCCTTTCCCCATCATTGTTATATCTTTCCCCCAGGAGAATATAATCTCCTTGAGAGTAGAACTATGTAATTTTTATCTTAGGAAGGAAGGAAATAAGCATTTATTAAGCACCTACTATGTGCCAGGCACTGTATTAAGTGACTTACAAGTATTATCTCATTTGACCCATACAACAATACTACAAAGTAGGTGTTATTATGATCCCCTTTTTATTTTATTTTTTTTCTTTCATGGGAATGTTTTATTTATTTTTAAAATTAATTAATTTATTTTTAGTTTTCAACATTCACTTCCATAAGCTTTTGAGTTTTAAATTTTCTCCCCTCCCCAGGATGGCGTGCAATCTGATATAGGCTCTACATATACATTTCGATTAAACATGTTTTCACATTAGTCATGTTGTAAAGAAGAATTAGAACCAATGGGAGGAACTACATGAAAGAAGAAACAAAACAAAACAGAAGAAAAAAATAAAGAGCAAACAGTATGCTTTGATCTGCATTCAAACTCCATGGTTCTTTCTCTGGATGTGGATTGCATTTTCCATCATGAGTCTTTTGGAGTTGTCTTAGATCTTTGCATTGCCAAGAAGAGCCAAGTCTATGAAAGTTAGTCATATGATCCCCTTTTTACAGGTGAGGAAACTCAGGCAAGGGTTAAGTGACTTGCCCAGAGTCATACAGCTAGTAAGTGTCTGAGGGTGGATTTTAACAAAGATCCTCCCAACTCCTAGGCCCAGAGCTCCACCCACCGTCCACCTGGCTGCCCCACCTCCTAGCTGTCTTAATATCCTTAGCATGGGACTAAATACATGCTTGATTGAATCCGGACTGACTTATTACAGCAACTATAAAAGGATCACAAAAGTTACTAAAGCTTTGTAACTAAATGCTTTCAATCAATAGATCGAAAGCCTCTTGGGCAAGCTTACAATCCAAAGGCACAGAAGGTGGCTCAGCCAAACCCATCCTAGAATAAATCATCATTGGCAGGAGGTGGGGTCTGAAGAAGGCTGGCTGCCAGACCTTTGGCAAAGTAACCGATCCCAACAAGAAATGTCAACTCTTTCAAAGCTCTGGTCTAGCAGCTTTGTTTAAAAACAAAACCAACAAAAACCAAAGGTAGTTCAGTGTGTAGGGTTGCAGTCGATTTTGTAGGATTTGAACATGATTGGATGAGGTGAAGCTGGCTACAAGGTGTCCCAAAAGTCTGAGTGCAGTTTAAGGCTTTAGTAGCTTACAACTACATTCAGATTTTTGGGACGCCCTGTATATACGCCACTAAATTCTCCTGTAATATCTCATCATGGTATAGAAAGTTGCAAAGGCTACGTCAATTAAGAAGAACTTCAAGTTATAATTGGTTTTGTTTTTATTTTTGGTCCTATCTTAACTAATTCGAGATACGCTCATCGTCAGAAGGTTGGAGATGATGAATTTCTTCAGCTAATTATAAAGCCATGCATGGTGATATCACCACCCCTTTCTATCAATAGAGGGTCATAACTAAAACAGGAATTACAAATTGCTTCCTGACACCAGGGGCATACTTCTTCACAAAGACCAGGAAAGGATGGGCAGAACGAAGGACCACAGGAGTGAAATGCAGGAGCTGGAAGGCCCTACTTAGCCTTCTGAGAGCTCTATCTTCATCTCTCATCTCCGGCTGCTGCTTAGGATGGGGAACAGAGTTTGGGCGACAGCTCTCGTTACATATAGGAGAACCTCAGCCAACTTCAGAGCTGACCCTGAAGACCTCACACCTGGAGAGTTTTTCCTTTTTGCCAAATTTTTCCTTCCTCAAAAGTCTCTGCCTTCTGTAAACAGCTCTTTGGGGTGGTTTTTTTTTTTCCACCTCCCACACTCCTTTGGGAATCCTATATTAATGAGTGTCTAGAGACCTCTATGGAAGGGAAATCGATGCCTTGGAGACTGGTTCATTGTCTTGTCATATTCAATTAAGGCATTTAAGCCTCTAGGGTAGAAAGTGCCTCTTTTTCACCTGAAGGCTTTTTACCATTCCATGTCTGTCCTTGAGCCTCTGCACACCCTTAACTTTTGCAGCCTTTAAAACCCTTTCCCCCATTTCTAAATCTCCCCACAGGTAAAATGACAGAGTCTGAAGGTGTGGAAAGGACTCCCGTCTGAGGCATTAATGTTGATGCAATAAATATATCCCCGTGAAACGTGATTTCATTGCTTACTGGACAACACAAATACAACCACTCCTGGTGGGCACCACACAGGGACAGATGTAAATGCAGATGGAAGCCGAACAAAGTTTAAATTTACTCACTGTTGTAGATATTAATGCTGCTGGTCTCCACCAGGCCAACGTCATACTGGGCTGAGCTAGCCCTCTGGAGGTGGCCTTTCCTGACCAGAAAGAAAAGAAAAAAAAGAAAGGAGATGAGAGGGGACAGTTTCGATTGGATTTTTTGGCACGTCCCTCCCCAGCTGCTACGAGTTCACAATAACAGATACTGGGAAATTATCCATTCTTGAAGATACTGTGATTGGACCATAACCTCTTCCAAGGCAGAGGTTCCATGTCTGTCTTCTCTGTATGCCCTACAGCATGATCAAGTGCCTTGCATGTAGCCCTCGATTAATGAACTACGTTTTAACTACCTTGTATGTCCGCATCACCTAGCACAATGCTGTATATGTTGTAGGCATTTAAGAAATGGTCATCAAATGTTGGATGAATGATACTATTTTGAAAATGCACCATAGACTTAGGTTTGAAATGGACCTTAAAGGCAATGGAATCCTAACTCCTCTTTTTACAGACGAGAAGATTGAGGCACAGGGAGGGTTAAATGAGTTGCCTCGGGTGACACTGCTAGTAAATGTCTGAGGCAGGATTTGAGCTCAGGTCTTCCTGACTCTGCACCAGGGGTGGGGAACCTGCAGCCTCAAGGCCTCGTGTGGCCCTCTAGGTCCTCAAGTTCAGCCCTTTAACTGAATCCAAAAGGCTGCAGGTACCCCACCCCTGCTCTCTACCCACCACTCTATCCACAGTGCCGCCCTTCAGCCTCCATGTAGAGGTCCTCAAACATTGATAATGATGCCTCTGATTCCTGTAAGAGATTGCATTATGTTGCTTCAGATTTTTGGACTCATCCCTTTGGGGAATTTGAGAAACAACAATTGCATTTTCATTGTATTAGAGAACCTAGATCGAGAGCCAGAAGGGGCCTCAGGGATCCACTAGGTCAATCCCATCATTTTACAGAGGAAGAAACTGAGGCCCAGGGAGCCCAAGTAACTTGGGTGAGATCACACAGGTAGTGACAGAGGCAGATTTTGAACCCAGAGGCAGTGGTACCCTTTCCAACTGTACCATACAGCCTACCATTCACTTGCCAGTGATTCATTTATCCTCTACATAGTTCTATACCCTCTATATAATTGGTTTTATATACATTTATTTGCAAGTTGCTCCCCCCCCACTCCCATTAGATTGTAAGCTCCTTGAAGGCAGGGACTGTTTTTCCTTTGCCTCTTTTTGTATCCCCAGTGCTTAGCACACTGCCTGGCACACAGTAGGCACTTAATAAATGTTTATTGAATTGAATAGATTAATTTTAAAATTACTTTTATTACATGCATCTACTTCTATGATCTTGTCATCTTTCCATTAACATTAATCTCAACTCCTATACCACTTAACCCAGAGTTTCTTAAAGATGGATCAGTGAACTTGTTTTAAAAAATATTTTAAAAATTGTATTTCAATATAATTGATTTACTTTGTAATCTTATGTATTTTACTTCTGACATTTAAGAACATTATTTTGAGAAGAGGGGACCCACCAGCTTGACCAGACTGACTGCCAAAGCCTTGGAGTCCATGTTACAAAAAATGGTTGAGAACTCCCACCTTAGAAGGTGGCATCCATGAGTCACCACGGCCAAAAAACCAACCAAGCAACCCATCATTCGGTAGCCAAGCCTCTGATGCTGAGCCCTTCTCACTTCACTGGGCTGGTCCTCAGGGATCAGACTGACCTGACACTGGGCCCTTACTTAGAGCCTTTCCAGCTTGGTGGGACCTCTCAGGGCTTGGATTTGACAAACACAATTGACTGAGAACTTACTGGTTTCCGTTCCCAGGCCGATGAATCACCTAGCTGACCAGACTTCACTTTGACCTCTAATTATTTTGTAACTCTCCCAAACTCTCTCCTCCTCAGATTCCCAAGCTTTCTTTATGGACTTTTGTATGGTATACAAAACATTATCTGGTGAAACTGTGTGATACCTAACCTCTCCCACCAGCAACCTGGTCATTCTCTCTGCCTTGGTACTCTATATAAATCCTGTTCCCAGCCCCCTTCCTTGGGTACTCCAGCGAGCTGCAAATCCTCTGTCCCAATCAAAGACTTCCATTTTGTTGTATTGACTATTTTCATTACGATTTCAAGGTTGACAGATTCCACTGGCATATTTTTTAAGGACTCAGAGTCACCAGCACACCATAAAGAAGCATTGGCAGAAGGCTTAGTGAATGTCCCATCAGTGTCTGAGTGCTCAAAGAAACATGATCCTAAGTTAATGAAAATGGACCTAAACCCACATTTCCTATAGCAACAGGAAATGTGTTATCTCTACAGGCGCTGGAACCTAGAAACTTTAACAGTGAGCTATCGACCAGAATTCCATTAGAAGTGGGTCCATCCCAGGCTCTATTTAAGCCATTTAGTTATTAATGGGATGAAAAGGAGATTGTAGGACAGTCTGTATAATAGATTCATCTGGAAAACAAGAGGTTGGACTTGATGATTTCTTAGGTCCCAGCACTAGCTGCTATGATGCCTTAAATGTGTCATCCAGGGTCCTCTCAGCTCTACCAATGGGACCCCCAGGCTTTGAGAAAATCCCTCCTCCTTATTCCCAAGCAAACTGGCCAGCCAGGGCTAGTGTACCATGTAAGGTTGTAGAGAGACAGAGATATTTGGGGAGGGGGGGGAGGGAGAGCCAAGCTCTTCTTAAGTGGCATCAAGCCGTAAGAATTCCAAGGGATCCAGACCCATGAAAAGGACAAGATTCAAGATAGATTGCAAAGGATAGGGATACAGGGCATGTCTCTGGGTAGAAAGGTGAGAATTGCCTTTCTCTGGCATGCCTCATGCTGTCATATCATCATCCTAGAATGTTCACCAGATCCCAGATTTGAATCTTAGAAGAGGTAAGATGAAGAGAAATATTAGAGCAAATGAAATTATTATCATTATTATTATTATTATTATAAATTATTATTAGAGCAAAGGAAATTATATGTAGAAAATATATTTATAGATAGAAAATTATAGATAGAAATATTCTATTATTATAATGTAGTATTCACCAGCACAGGTGGGCCTAGATGGAAAATATTTAGATAAATGTGTGGCGCTTGACCAGGTCCACAGGAGAATAGCTCTCTACCTAGAAGTCATCTCAGAGGCCAGGGAGGCCGGGCCCCTCATTTTACAGATGAAGAAACCGAGGCCAAGGGTTAGTTAAGACAATTGCCCAATGCCACGCAGGTAGTGAATAACAGAGGGAAGACTGAAGGCCAGTCCTCTGAGGTCCAAAACAGTATTCTTTCCAGTGTGCCAGTGAAGAGGGTGGCAGTGGGAGTGGAAAGAATAGGGGGCAGATTGAAGAGACGGAAAGAAGGATGTTGGTGGAGTCAGCTCATACAGGCTCACGAGAGCTTCTTGGGGGTAAACTTTCATGATGAACACCTACACCTCAGAAAACAACAAATGCTTCAAATCATGGCTTAATTTATTTATTTGTTAATCATCTAGACTTAAGAAAGTAAAGGAGAAAATAATAATCCTGATTAAACTTGAAAGTGTCGTACGTGAATTTTTTTCCAGAGAGTCAGTTGTTAAAAAACATTTAACCACAAACCCCTGGGTAGAAACCATATGATCTGGCAACTCACTAGAAATTTTGGATGAGAGGAAAAAGAAAAGTCAAATATGGCTCCAGAGTTACAAATGACTGGGAGGATTGGGGTACCATTTGAGAAACTGGGGGGCAGGCTGGGTTTAGGGGCAAGATAAGTTCTGTTTGAGTTCATGTTGAGTATGAGACTAGAACCATCCCATTGTAGTGAATTTATGAAATTACCTTGCTCTAATATTTCTCTTCATCCTATTTCTTTTAAGATTCAAATCTGGGATCTGGTGAGCATTCTAGGATGGTGATATGAGGGCATGAGGGATTGGATCCCCAGAGAAGGGCAGTTCTCACCTTTCTACCCAGAGACTTGCCCTGTATCCCTATTCTTTGCAATCTACCTTGAATCTTGTCCTTTTCATGGACAATTCCCTTGGAATTCTTATGGCTTGATGCCACTTAAGAAGAGCTTGGCTCTTCCCCCCTTCCCCCTCCCCAAATATCTCTATCTCTCTGTAACCTTTCGTGGTACCCTAACCCTGGCCGGCCAGTTTGCTTGGGGATAAGAAGGAGGGATTTTCTCAAAGCCTGGGGGCCTCATTATTAAAGCTAAGAGATGGGGAAGCCCATTGACAGAGACATCTACGTTCTTGTTCAACAGAATCCAACGACCGAGAAATCAATGGACTATCTCACGTCTAGCCTAGATATGATTGGGTTGGTTCACTCTGAGAACAAGCTAAATGATAATAATAGCAGCTGTGCTCCTGTTTTTACAAAGCACTTTATATAAGTTATCTTGTTTGACCTTTACTACAATCCTGTGGGAGAGTCTACAGGTGTTCTTATGTCCATTTTAGAGATGAAGAACCTGAGACTTAAGAAAAGTGACATGTCCACAGTCACACAGCAGGATTTGAACTCAGGTCCAAATATAGCGCTCCCTCCAAACTACATGATAGTGCTGGCCCAAACAGAGCCTTGACTAGAATAAACCAGCTTTTGCCTCTCTAACTCTTTTTCTAGGTCTTTTCCTTGGAGTACAAAGATGAGGCCTCCGAGGATAGAGGTCAATTTGACCAGACTAACTTCCCTGTAAGTGAGCATGTAAGAGGAGTATTCATTGGGATCACCTCTAGAAACCTTGCCCTTTGATTTGGTAGACTCACCCTGTATGTTTGCCTGGAGTACTCGGCGGTTACTCCTCACCTGACCCCCTCCTTTCTTTTGAACCGGACCTGTCATTTCATTGGTAAAAGGAACTTCCAATGAAGAAACTCCATTGCCCAGTGTAGATCAGCCCTTCATAGGCCTGTGAGGATGGAGGTTGGGGTTCAGAAAGGACAGGTAATGACAGCTAGAAAACAGAAGAGGGCACCAGAAAGCCAAGTCCTAGAACTTTTGAGTCGAGAAAAAGAGTGGATAGAGAAAAGTGATGGGGCAGGTGCCTGGGGCCACTGGGCATCACATCCTGTACT